GCCGCTCACAAACACAAAGCACAGAGATGAAAAACACCTGCTTTCGCGCAAGGACCACTTGTGGTTTCTAGCCACCGCGCACCCCTTGGGCGGGCCTCTCAGCTACTTCTCATAATGTGATTTCAGTTTCTCTGCCACACAAAGGAAGGAAGGGCAGGGAGCTGCTGTTTCCCCACTGGGTTCCCGGGGCCTGCCTGGTGCCACTCAGAAGACCAGGCTCCTTCCAGCCCGCGGGGGTGGCAGCAGAACCAACCGGGGCCCAGAGGGCCCCCCCACCCCGTGCCAGCCATGCCCGCGCATCTCCCTGCCACACTGGTGCTCCTGGGGACCCTGGCTGGTGAGTTACACACGCGTTTCCCTTGGTGATGGTGTGGGTGGGGGTGGGTGCTGCCATGCCTTACCCTGGTAAATTCAAAGTCATTCTGGTGCCACTGCCCCAGGTGAGACAGGAGAGAGGGTCCTTCCGATTCAGCCAGGCCGGTACTTCACAAAGCCCCCTCCTTATTACTTTATGCAGGTGGGAAACACTTCCATTTTTAAACTCCAAAGTGTGCTTCCCAGTTGGCTGTGATTTCTCTGAGCCGAGCAGAATAAACGCAGACCAAACTCATTGCCATCAAATGGATGCCGACTCATAGCGACCCTCTAGGACAGAGTAAAACGACCACTGTGGGTTCCCGAGACTGCAACTCTACAGGAGTAGAAAGTGGCTGGTGGTTTCAAAGGGCAGACCTGATGGTTAGCAAAACCACTACGCCGCCTGGGCTCTGGCTAAGCAGAATAAACCAAGCTCACTGCCAATCGATGCCCACTCAGAGAGGCACTATGGGCCCGGGTAGAGCTGTCCCTGTGGGTTTCCGAGACTAACTCTTTACAGAGGCAGGAAGCCCCATCTTTCTCCCTTGGAGCAGCTGGTGGTTTTGAACTGCCAACCTTGCAGATGGCAGCTCAACATGTAACCACGACATGAAGCAGACTAGCTGGTGTTAACGCCAGAAGATAGCAGCCCTTCCCCCAGCTTCTAGACAGCACTTCAGGAGAGTTTGTAGAAAATCATTTCCGTTTCAGAGATGGAGAATTGAAGCAGGCTGCAGAAATGCCCCCCGCCCCCAAAACTGTCTCAAAAGAGCTTGTTTATCCGGCTTTCTCAGATGGAAGGGTTATGTCGGTCTCATGCACAGGGACTGTGAAAATGCCTGAGACGGGGTGTGACAGACTGTGCCCTTTTGGAAAGGTGTGGGCCACATCCTGAAAGATGCAGGAGTGAGGGACCACTGCACGTCAGAGAGGCTGGCGGGGGGATTGGGCCCGTGCTGACTCTCTTGTACCCCCACCCACTGCTTTCCTCCAGCGTTTACTGAGTCCTCTGTGCGCTCTTGCTCAGTTCCTGGTATCGAGTGTGCAGGTGGATTTGCAATTCCTTCTAGAATCTCAGAAATGGATATGTGTGAGAGCAAGCTCCATCCAAACGCCCCTGCTAGGATGCTCCCACGGGCTCCCAGTGGCTGTGTCCAGACTTTTAGGAAAGTGGGGTGAAGGGTCAGCTGCCCTGTGTCCGTTGTCCTCTTCGTGCTAAACCAGCGGTTCTCAACCTGTGGGTCGCGACCCCTTTGGGGGTTAAATGACCCTTTCACAGGGGTCGCCCGATTCATAACAGTAGCAAAATGACAGTGACGAAGTAGCAATGAAAATAGTTTTATGGTTGGGGGGGTCACCACCACAGGAGGAACTGTACTAAAGGGTGGCAGCATTAGGAAGGTTGAGAACCACTGTGCTAAACGTTCAGAATTACAGCATGAAGGTTTGGGTTTTTGTTTTGAATCATCGCTGGATTCAGCAGGGCGAGCTGATGTAACTTTTTCTTAAAGTGCAGTCTAGCAGTAACCCACAGTGACTTGTGGTGGCACTAATTAAAGGACCAACGGACCACGGACAGGTTCGGGGCACCACGGGTGTCCCCCAATTAAAGGGCGTGCTGAGAAGCAATGCCCACACTGCTCTTTCCTGTGTGAACTGCAAAATTCTGGGCTTGAACTGAAGCGGGTTCTTCCTCAAAGGTGATCCACGGCCCACAACAGATTGGTGTTTTGTGGCCGTGGGGGTGGGAGGTAGCACCCAACTGAATTCAAAGCCCAGAGCTAACCCGTACCGTCAGGAAGGCCTTGTTCCTATGCCCTGACCTCTCAGATGCTCAGCTTCTTCACAGAAACGTGGGAGACATCAGGTCCTCTTCCAGGGCTGTTGGGAAGACAAACTGAGGCAGCATCCATCAACGGAGATGAGCTCCTTGCTGCTCTGCAGACATGGCGGGCTCCTGTAGCCTGGTCTTTGCACCTGGGCCTCTTCCTGCCTGGAAACCCATTTGCTGTCTGATCAGCCTGAAGAACTTGTCCTGCCATTGAATTTCTCACCCCCCCACCACGCTCCCCTAGTAATGACATGAAGGAGGGACTGTTGGTTCTTTCGGGAGCCCTGATGGGCGTAGCGATTATGAATTGGACTGATAACTGCAAGGGCGGCAGTTCAAACCACCAGTCTCTCTGGGAAAGGAAGATGAGACTTTCTATTCCTGTAAAGAGTTCCAGTCTCGGAAACACACAGGGCCCGATCTTTCCTGCCCTTGACTGTCCATAGGATCACTCTGAGTCTGAATCAACTCGAAGGCAGTGAGTTCGGAGTTTGGTGTTGTGTCTTCAGGACTTTGCCCAAGAGACCTGGCCACACCCAGCCTGACATGGGACCTGGCACAGAGGAGGCCGCTCCAGGCGCACTGAACGGGGTGTGGTAAGCAAGCCAACCTAGGGCTGTCCAGGAAGACATCGAAATGGAATGGGAAATACCTAGATATGTCTGGGAAATACCTAGAGAAGAGGTTGTCCTAAGGCCACTTCTGTGTGGTGACAGACTTTCCCAGGAACTGAGGGACTGAGTCATCTTTCAGACCCTTCTGTGGGCGATCCCCCCAAAACCCAAACTCACTGCCATCAAGTCAGTGCTGACTCACAGCAGCCCTGCAGGCCGGTAGAAGCGCCCCTGCGGGTTTCTGAGACAGTAACTCTTGATGGGAGTAGAGAGCCCATCTTTGTTCCGCAGCGGGGCTGGTGGCTACAGCCCAGCTAGTAACCACTGCAGCACCAGGGCCATGGAGGAACCGAATCTCACACCTCTCCTGCAGATGGCGCAGCTCGAGGGGGGTGGCATGGGGGCAAATGTCTACTGAGTCTCCTAAATCCTCCCGAGGAGTCAGTGGAGTGAAGGTAGAGAAGCTCAAAAACTCACCGCCATCGAGGCAATTCCAACTTTTAACCACCTTCTAGGGCAGAACAGAGCTGCCCTGTGGGTTTGGGAGGCTAGAAAGCCTCATCTTTCTCCCTAGGAGAGGCTGGTGGTTTCAAACCGCTGACCTTGTGGTGAGCAGCCTAACATGTCACCAGTACGCCACCAGGGCTCCTTGAAGGCAGGGAGGAGGGGCGCAAACCCGTGTACAGGCTCCAATATAATACCGTCTATTGATTAGAAGGAGGGCCGGCAACAGGTTTTTTATCATGCAGGCATCTGGTTTGAATGTCTATGGCTGGTTATCAGTCCGAGTTTGAGCTGAGAAGCCGAGGAAAGAGATCATGAGATTTATCCCCATAAAAGCCTAGATTTTTGAGCTCTGTCCTGCTGTTCTCCCCACTGCCCTCCTTGGGGGTCTCAGACAATCAAGTGACCTTGACTAAACTTCTATGGGGCCAATGGTCCTCTCTGAAAATGGTGACCCAATTCTGAAAAAGATTACAAGCAGCCTTCAAAAACTGTGTGTAAAATGGTATTCAAAGATGATGGGAATTTTTCACGAACTCTGTAAAGCCCCCTCATGTGCGTGGTCATATGCACAGGTCTGGTAAAACAACGTAATACTTCACAGTTTTGAGTATCTGAAAAAGATATGTACTGACTAAACAGGGTCACCATGAGTCAGAATTGACTTCATGGCCATGAATTTGGAGGTTTGAAATAAAAATGTAAATGTTCAGATTTATGTAATTAGACATTGCATATTATATTTATATTATTATATTATGCATATTATGCTGCACATTATAATTATATTATTAGGTATTATCATTGTCAGGTTTCTGTCTAATCACCTGCTCCTCATTTATACCCCGTGTCTACAGGGAGGTGAAGAGGAAAGGAGAGGTCAGATTAGGGAAAGCAAGTGAGAATAATAGAACAATATCTCCTAGATGGATTCTAGTTGTAACACATCTGTAGATTTTCTGGGATGTCTAGGTAGAGTCTGCCCCCTGGCATTTTCAGTCCGGTCACCGCCAGCCTGGCCTTCTGGCCATCACCTATGTTCCTCATTCCCAAGACACACCTGTGGACCACCACAAGACCTCAAGACAATTGTCACCTTCAGCCACCACGCTAACATTCCTTATCGGGCATGCATAATTTGTCCTGGTGTCAGGAGTCTTACTGGTCTACTGGGATGCTGCCCATTCACGAGCTCCCGTGTGCTTTGCCCCCTTCCCTGAGTTTACTCAGCACCAGTGAGAGAGGCGTGCTAGTTGCATCTTAAGGAAAGCCTTTGTTCTGGAGGACGTACTCAGTTGAGCAAATTCTGCTCAGTTGGAGAGATTTGGGTTCAGGCAGACAGAGTAGGATTTTAGGAAGGATCCGATGATCTTCCCAAGAGAACAAAAGGAGATTGGTTCTCAGTCTCCCAGAGTTTCCTGCAGCCATCTTTGCGTCCCATGAAATATTCCTGGCAGTCACACCTGAGAGTCAATTCTGTTTCTCCATAGCGATCATGTGAGCCTAGTGAGGTTCTTATTGGGGTTGTGACCCCTGAACTCAAGCTTACTGCAAATGAGTTATGAAAAGAAACCCCAACAACTATCAACCCCCATAAGAACCTTGAAAGGAAATACCTTATTTCAAGCTTTACAGCATGACCATGAAGAACGTACCCATAGTGATTTTCTAAAGGTTTACAAAGCAACCCCCTCCCTCCAACACCCCCCTCCCCACTCAATGCCATCCAATCACTGCCAACTCAGAGCAGCCCTACAGGACAGAGGAGAACTGCCCCTGCCCTTTCTGAAACTGTAAAACTGTCTATGAGAGTAGAAAGCCCAGCCTTTCTCCCTTGGGGTGGCTGGTGGTTTTGAACTGTTGGCCTCATAGATCACAGCTAAATGAGTAACCACTACACCACCAGGCTTCATCCTTAGTGATAGGACTCTGATAAGTTGCCTGGACACTGGCCCTGACCAGGGCTTTGGCATCAGGGTTGTCTGACCTACTCTACCTTCACTAGTGGGAGAGAAAATGTCCGTCCGCCAC